CGCAAAGATAAATTAAAAACCGTGTTGTGATCTTTTGAAAAAACAATTGTGTAACTTGTTCTTGTGTATGAAAAGTTTTTTTAAAAGAAATTGTTCTTCTGTTCAAATCTTGATTCACAAGAACCAAGTTCTTCTTGAAACTTTGCTCTTTTCTTTTCAAGATTTGAACCAATTTATTTATTTATTTATAAACTATCGTCGATTATAGTAATATGATAAGTAATAATAATCGGTTGAAATCAAATTATTGGAAGCTTTTCTAATTTCATATGAATGTGAGTTCTGAATGCCACAATACTTTAGCATTTTTGCCATCTATGATTCAAACCGTCATATGACCAAATTGTATTTATAAACGGTTGGTATAATTTTCAGTACATATTGGCTTGATCTCACTCGATAGAAGAGTCGCATATATATATTCATTTTTTTTTTTGTCAACTATTCATATATTTGTTTATAGAGAAATTAGCATAACTAACACAAAAAAATATTAGAATTGATCCAATAACAAAAAAAATACTGTTCACACAAATACAATGTGTATAATATGTATCTCTTGACAGTTTTATCCTTGCTAACAAGATAGATTCACAGTTCTATCACTTCTATTTCTATATAATGGTCTATGTTACAATATAATATATTTTCTATAGTCTATGTTATATATAACAATATATCTTAGAGTATTATATCATTTCTACAATCTATGTTACAATAATATAACTAAAAATGAATCTCAAATCTTATAAATCCTTTTTTTAAACACATTGTTAATTTTGGAATAATAAAGGATGTGATATAAGTGAAAAATTTGCAAAGATTTGAAATTCATTTTTAGTTATAAATTTGACTCATGAAATCACACCTCTTTAAACAGAACCTTTAGAAAAACTATCTTTCAGAATAATTTTTTTGTTCGTAATATTTTCGAAAACAATGTTATTGAAAACAATATCTTCGTAATATGTTCGTAATATTTTCGAAAACAATGTTTTTTAAAAACAATGTTATTGAAAAAGATGATGATGAGGATGATTGAAAACAATGTTACACGTGGGAATCAAAATTTTATTGAAATATTAACATTGATCAAATCACCACAAATCCAAGCAAATCACACTAATTACACCCCAAATCACACAAACATGATTTTATATTTTTAATTAATTAAATTTTATATTTTCGAAATCTACATAAATCCCACCTAATCAGAAACTCCATCAAATCCATTAAAATTCTAGATCGAATACACCCCCCTTAGTTCATGTTCCATGACTTAGTTTAAGACTATTAAATCCTATGGTTGAATAACAATAAATGGTATTTGAATTTAATTCTATTTTTGTTAAAGTTTGGATAACACGGATTGCTTCTTTTATTGGCAAATTAGATAATTA